CCCCCACCGCCTGACCTTTTCAATAGTTTGCTACGCCATTGGCTACACTAGTAGGTGGTTACTTTTGTTGCTTTTATGTCTGTGGCTGCAGGTGTGTGTGTGTGTGTGTGTGTGTGTGTGTGTGTGTGTGTGTGTGTGTGTGTGTGTGTGTGTGTGTGTTAGACACAGTAACACTACCTCAGATTCTTACTGGGTCACCATGAAGGGAAAAAAAAACTCCTCAATCTGAGCACAGCTTGACTCCAGTGCGCCCGCCTGAGCTGGCCGCCTTACATGTCGTCGTCTGTGCGTGTATGCATGAGTAGCCCCACTTATTAGTTCGCAGCCAATGAACATGCTAAAAACAAGTTTCCCTGACATGTCTTGACCCACGGCTGAGCCAGACACACACACACGCGCGCACACATACACACACACATGCCTGTCACTCGCAGGCCGCCGGTCGGTGCTTTGCGCCGCACCATGAGCTGCCATTTGGCAGGAGACGTCTCCTGGCAGCGAGCGGGAGGTCATGGTGTGAGTGTGTCAGTGTGGCGGAGAGAGGGGAGACGACGGAGGGCGGGTTGCTGGGTAGAAACCACTCGTTTCTTTCACATGAGTGGCCTCGTCCAGCAGCAGCTCCACATGTTGTGTCGGGGTAATCCCCCATCTCTCCTCCTCCTCCTCCTCCTGTCGTCGTCTCTCATCTTCTCCATCACTTCTTCACTTTTCACCCTTATCCAGCTCCCTGTCTCGTCTGAGGAGCTCACCTCTGCCGCCGCACATCAAAACTGCCCCTACCTCCCTGTCTGACAAACATCCACTGCTCAAACACAAGACACGCCTCTCATGCAGCACCACTTGGTTCAAGGTTTCATTGAAGAGATTCTCTCCAGAGCTGCGTGAGGAAGGGATGGGTGCGTGCGGAAATGTGTAACCCAAGAGGCGCTGTGCAAAATGTGGTGGGGGGATGGGGGGGAGGTGGAGGCGGTTAGGGTGGAAAATCCACAACAACAACAACGAAACATTGGGAACAAGAAATAGCTACAAATAAAGAAAAAAAAAAGGAAAACAACGTTCTTGGCATGCCTTGGTTTTGGCACTAATTTAGACCTCGAGCAGAGCAGCTTTTTTTTTTTTTTTTTTTTAGAGTGAAATTCCTCAAAGAATATTCACACAAAATTAAAAACAATCCTTCTCAGCTTCCGTCTGTTTGAGACGAAACCCCTTCTCTCACTTTCCGATCAGGTCTCTCGTTTCATTCTACGTCAAGCTTTTCCCCATCACCGATCTGCCCTGCTTAATCACCTTTGCCAGTTAATTGCTTGAGTGTAATTTCAGCACCAGGGTGACTTGGGCATTTCAGGAATAAACAACTCCACAATCAGGAATATGGTAACGGCCAGGACTGACGCAAAGGGGACGGCGTCCAATCAAGTAGATAGCATCAGAAAATACACATGGAGTCAGTGTTTTGGCTGGAGCTCCAGTAGATGGGGGGTCCTGCCTTAGGCTCCGCTCCCGCTCCCACTGCGACCCCGCAGACGCCACGGTCGGCAGCGGTCACGGAGGAGACCCAACGCCCTTAGGTGCTCTCTGACCGTCTTAACTCTGGATTGGCTGTGATGTGATGCTCCCCATCGTGCTAGTGGGGCACCAGGGAAAATGGGGGCTTGCTCTCCTAGTCTTCCCTCTGTAGCCGTGGTAACAGCATCAGTAGCACGTGACCGCGTGTATGTTAAAATGTCTGAGAGGCGCATGGGATGCGATGAACAAAGGGTTAAGCACGCATGGGTAGGACTAAAGTAGGCCACAACAATAAGGGGGAGGAGGGAAGGCTTTTACTGTACCCTTTTACTGGACAGAAGCTTTAAAGGGATAGTTCAGCATTTTTAAAGTGAGGTTCAGTCAAAAAGTCAAGAGCAGTTAATATCAACTTTTATCAAGTAGATAAAGTGACTGAAAAATGCAACTTTACGGATCACTTTTGTGTTGCACCATTTTGTACTGTCAGAGTAACTAATGTAAAGTAAAGCAGCTGTTATAGTTCTTATCTTTTCCACAATTTTTTCACAGTTACCTCTTTTTTTTCCCCTTTTAAAATGATTCCAGTCGCGAAATCACCTACTTGCATATTTTTCAGTGGAACGTAACTTCAAATTATTCACAGAAAATTTGAATGTTTGCAGATTTTTTCAAAAGTATTACAAAGAAGATGAATCTTGGGAAGACGGCTTCGTTAGGCACAATGCTACTTGACATTGTTTTCCTTGGTGATGATTGACTGTAGACCCCATAAACGGAAACCAGGAAGACAGTCAATGTTACACAGAATTTCAACTGTGCGCATTAATTGATATTAATCTACATTTGGGGTTAAACTATGAAATAGGCAATGTAATAAGCATTTTTAGAGGGGGATCTTAGGTCTTCTCGGATTTTAGCTCAAGGGATCGGGTTTTAATATGGCAGAGGTCTGCTTTGGTCTTGGCTCCTAAACAAGCAGTTGCATTCAGGCTCCCGAACCTGCTAATCTGAATTCAAAGCAGATAAAGATGTAGAAGAGTTACCTGCAGCAGGTATGATATTAGCTGCTTGTAACCTGTAATTAGATCCTCACTTGAAAAACCCTGAACTATTCCTTTGTCCAAAGGAAAGGATGTTGCTTTGGAGGGAAAACACCTCACCGTCTCCCCTCAAGAGGCACAGTGCTGGGGGGGAGAAAGTCATAGGTCGACTACTGATCCTCCTCAGTGGAAGTAATTTGTGTTACTGTACCCAATAACACACACACACACAGGTCAACACAAGCTCCTGCCTCATCCGACTGAAAAATCCCTGGAGTAGCTATAGTCCCTGCTTATGTAACGGGCTTCAATGAACAAAATGGAAACAAGCCGCTGTATCATTAGCTCACAGTACAGAAAGCACAAACACACACATCCACACACACACACACACACACACACACACACACACACACACACACACACACACACACACGCAATCAAAACCAGACACACACTGTCTGACTCTGAGACAGAGTGGTGTCTGTTCAGGACGGGGGAGGAAGCTGAACACAAACACACATCTCCCAGCTGTGTGCTCTGATATCCATCTCTGGACGCACCCTTTAAAAACACATACAGACCCATAAACACACCCCTCATACTGTTGCCCTTTAAACGTACTGGAATTATGGATGTACGAAATGCAGTATTTTTCGAAAACTGCTCTTGGAGTTTTCTTTTTGTCACACTTAAATGTTTCTCGTTGTCAATCAAATTTTAATATCACACAAATGTAACCCAAATAAATACAAAATGTCGTTTTCCAATTATTAACTTCCTTAATTGAGAGGAAAGAAGTTGTCCAAATTAGCTTGACCGCATGCGAAAATTTAATTTCCCACTAAAACTAGTTGTGCCACCCTTGGCGGCAACGGCTGCTATCAAGTGTTCGAATCATGTTCTTCCAGCTTGATTGCTTCCAGACGTAGAGAATCAAGAAGTCACAATCAGAACCTGTCTGACAAGACGAAGTAGGCTTAACAATCTGAAAAAGCAACACGTCACGTCCCGAGGTAAAGAAATTCAAAAACAGACGAGAAACCGAACCACTCGAGTGAACCGGTTGAACAAACCTGGAGAGAACAGTGAAGATCCTTTCCAGGAGTCACTGGTTGACCAACGTCATTCTAAGGGAGCATCAACGATTTACCAAGCAGGTCACAAAAGAAGACAGAACAGCACAGAAGGCTCTGCTGGTAAACCAAAATGAAAAGGTTTGGAGCGGCCTAGTCAAAGCCCAGACTTAAATCTGTTTGAGGTTCTGTGGGATGACCTCAAACAGGCCTTGAAAATCAAATAGTATGGCTGAAGTAAAACGATCCCGTTACTTTTTTTTTGCACACAGCCAGGTTGGACAGGATAGCGCTTTTTCCTTTTAGTAAACGCTAAGGACCCTGGTTTTACCCGACAGAAGATGCAAGGTGTTCAGTAGAAACCTGCAACCCAGACCTGCCACAGACAGACAAACAGCCATGATGAGCGAGAGGGTGCAGGCGGTGGAGCTGTCGTAATTAACACTTGGCCTCAATCACGCATCCTGAATACGTTTTCACTCTGACGTCCTCCCTTCCTCTCCGGTCTGGCGAGCAATTCCCCAACCGTCCCTCGTCTTGGTTGTTTTTCCTGTCTCTCGTGTGCAGCTATCACGCCACCTCCACATATACAGGCAGAATCTCGCACAACGAGCCGAGCAGAACCACCCACACACGCCTACATGTGCTCGCACACTGACACAATCTCTTATAGCCCCAGAATTTCGACCAGGATCTTATTAAAGCTATAGCAACTGCATCCCCCATCCTCTATCCATGTCTGCGCGCGTGAGACAGATGCAATCTGAGCTAAAGCATCATTGGGGTTCGAGGCGGTGGCCCTGGTAACGGAGCTGAACGACAAATCTGGGTCACAGTCGTTTGACACAAACAAGAGAGATTTTTCTCAAAGGTGGGAGGCGATAACTTGTGATAAGAGGAATGCTTAGTCGATTTCCTTCGCCCCCAGCTCTTCCTCTTTCCATTTTTTTGTGCTTAAATCAAGACACATGTTGGAAGCAAAACGATTCGGGAGCTAGCTGAAACGCTGCAAAAAGTGCGCTCACTTGAACATAAATCTTGCAGCTCCGAAGGCCATTTAACCTCTTCTGCCACTGCGACCACTACAGCAAACACACCCAAACGGCCAAAACAAATCTACTCCAACCTTGCGTGCACTTTGCCCACTTTGAGAGAATCCCATTTCAGCTCAAACTCATCCCCATCAATCTCCCCGCTTCAGCTTCTTACCTATAAACCTTTAACCTTCGGTCTAACTCTGAAGTAACCCCAGAGCTCTCTCCATCATCCCACCACAGCCTTCCACGTCCAGACTTCCTCATCTTCCCAGAAGAAGCGGACGTTGCGCCAATTAAAGAGCATTCCTTACATACTCCATGTCTTAAAGGTAGTTTGCTTTCTTCTCTTTGTCTGATCATATCCATTTGGCTTCTGCTAATATAAATTGGGGGGCAGTGAATCCAGGTCTTTGGGTCCCACAGATCATCATTTCCTCACCTGTTTTAAAGATCTCGTAGCGTAGAGAGAACCCCGCGCCCTGATGGGCATAATCTGAGACGAATCTGATCTGGATCAAGGGCCCAGACGAGATGATGGGCGGCGGGGCGATGTTGCTGCAGTGTCGACCCAAAACGTCAGCGGTTTCTGAGGTCCCATCGCGGATCTCTATGAAGTCATACCTGAGCAAAACAACAACCACAAAAAAAAAAGCCCAAACAGGTTAGAAACGGTTTCTTTTAGCGTTTTCTCACAATCGTTTGCCTAAAAAGTTAGCACTGCATTCAGTTTGTAGCAGGAATGTCAACAAAAAAGTGATGGGGTAGTTAGGAATTTGAGGTAATGAAATCCAGACAGGTGTTGACCTGAGATCACTTTCATGATAGAGTCCCTGAATTTAGGAATACAACCAATCACGGGGAGAAATAAACTGTGTTGTCTCCCCACAGATGGATTCAATAAATGTAGCTCTTCTGACCCAGTTTTTGCTCGGGACGGCACGCTCAGATCTCTTTGATGACAGCTCGGGGCGAACAATCCCCAAATCCCTGAATATTGGATCACAGGAAAGAAAATGGAGGGAGGGCTGTATTTCAAACAGGACATATTTTAGTGAGTGTCTGTCAACTCGGAGGCAGAGGACGCGGGCAAACAGACAGCTGGATAGATTCATTAATAAGAGGAGTAAAAATAGATGGTTGAAGCTCATGAAAAAATCAAGAGGTGAGCACCGCTGAGCATCGGCACCAAACTCGGTTCTGATTAGCTTCCGCATGTTTGTTTTCTCAGTTCTTCATTGAGCTCTGACCGACCAACTGACCCCGAACGATGAAAGCAAATTCTTATCTGTCAGCTCGCGCGCGTGTGTGTGTGTGGGTTTAAGTGTGTATGAAAGAGAGGGAGACAAAGAGAGACAGTGCGCACCTGGCTAATCCTGAATTTGCTCATAGCTCTGTGTACCATTCCGTATGTCAGCATCACTGATTGAAACAACATGCAGATTTGGTTCACGTTGGACATTTTCATCCTTTTTTGGGCCTTTCTACTTTTGAGAGCACGCTGTGTTTGGTTGAGCGCGCTTCAACTCTGCCAGGCATAGCTCCAAAAACAGAAAGGTTTTAATGGACCACAAATGTTTTTTGCTAATGTGTTTTCATTTTGTAGCGCGTTTGATTCGACTCGGAGGTCATAACTCACACTGGGGTGTTTGGCACAACATGTTCTGGTTACAAGTTGGGGGGAGGAAAAAACAACTCCGGGATTTGGGAACTACTTTCATAAATCCATGCATTCAAACAGAAAAAGGAACATAATCACACAGAGATACTGTACAGTAGTATGTATGGAACTGATTTATGAGATGAAATACTTCATCCCTGTAACTTTCCCGACATTTAATATGTGCAGCAGGAATTTTGGATACTTTGCGGTGTCTCGGAAAGGCTGGACTGAAATTTTTTTGTCAAGAAGAAAGGTGCAGAAACATCCCAGTTTGGAGTGTGAACTTTTCAATGCTGCACTCTTAGGTACAAAGGATGTAATATTGAGGTGAATGGGAAAAAAAAGCTGTGAAAATTAGGATCCATCAAAAATAACTAAAAGTTTGGCGCACAAGTGCAAACTTTCCCAAGCCTTGTTGCTGATTGGCTCATTAATGAGTTGCAACAGAAAGATTTTCTGTAAACATAGGTTGCAGTGTTGGTCTTTTTTTGTTTGTTTGTTTTTACACTCTGAAAATGGTCGAAATTTTCACCTTTTTATTTATTCATCTTCATAAATAAGTGTTGTCTTTACTGGATTGAAAGGTATCCCTTTTGGGACCATGAAATGCTTCAGAGTGCCAGCTTTTAGCATCCTAATTTGGGGTTTGGTCAGCATTGGAACAGGGAGGAATGTTTTTAATTCTTGTTTGGTGGCAAGCTGGTGCTTAAGTGCTATTTAATGCAAGGTTCAGTATAATTTATCTGAATAATTACGCTCTTTTCGCAGACTATTAGACTCACTTTTATACCTCTTATTTTCTCTAAACAACCTGTTTGATTTTCCACCAAATGAGCATGTTGATGACTTTCTAGCTGCAAGACTGATTCATTTTCTTTCCATTTGTGTCTCCGTGGTGCCACCTCCCTTTCCTGGTACGAGTGTCTCCTCAGTCCTCATGTTGTATTTTCCCGTGTTGCTAAGTGCATCGCTGCAGGAGCCTTGCAGCTAACCGAGAGCGCCCTCCAAACGTGCAGACGTGCAAACACACTTGTCTGAATTAGTTCGTGTGACAAAGCTGTCAAGGAACAACAGGGTCGCCGCTATCTTGCTAATTAGCGTGATGAGCTGTTTGGTGCTGACAAAGCATTACAGGCATTTCTGGGCTCAAGCACATATTTAAAACCAGTATCTTTGCTAATGTTCTTGCTGCTGCTTTTAACGCGAAAAGCATTCAGGGTATGCTGAGACATGGCAATCAGCTCAAGCCTGTGGTTGCTTGTGGCATCTGAACGCTAAGATGGCTTTTGTAGTTCCAGCTTGAAATAAAACCCGGATTAAGAAGAGTCACTAATCTCCTTTTTTTTTTTCTTAGCTATCTCGCTCTTGCAGCGCATCGACTCCAGTGCTGAGCATTCAAACTAAGACTGCTGATCGAGGGATAATCCCAGCACATTAATCTGGGTCACGGTGGCACATGCAAAGGTGAAGACTGGAACACTAAATGGCTGAGATGAGCCGGAAATGTTGCAACTGTTGTCAGCACTGCGGAGGAAAATATGGAGAGGGCAGAAGCATAATACAAGAAAATAGTTCTGGAAACATTGGAGAAGAGTTCACAATGACAACGCTTTGATTTCGACATTAGGAGCTGTGAGATGCACCTACCATAGGCTAGGAATCTGGAAATCTCCGCCTCTGCAGGCTAATTAAGGAATTGGTTTGTCCTTGCACTGTGATAAACAAACCGGCTTTAATCACAACCAGACGTGGTTAAGTCCTCATGTCACAGGCAGTTTGAGGATTTGAAGTTTTGGGCCTGAGTAGCACTAACGCTTGTGGCTAAAGAAGCTGTTGTCCAATACTCTTATACATGCCCTGCTTGTAATCCTGCATTACAGAGGCGATCGTAGAGGCTTTAGTGCCAGGCTCCCACAGTGAGTCTGTGAGAGCCACCGCTATCCCTAATGCTTAAGGCTGTAACTGACACATGCTTGGGGAAAACAGCATTCAGGAGCGTGCCAACAAGCACACACCACTCATGCAAACAAGCGCACAACGTGGCGATATGGGCAAACACTGGCGCGCACGCATACACTGAATGGCGTATCTCCAACTCCGGGGATAAAAGGCCCGTGAAAGAGCTGAGAGCCTAATTAGGTTTTAATTGATTTTGGAGTGGGTCTTTATCCTTCTTTCTGTCTCTCCCTCTCTCCTGTCGTGGATTAGCGTCAGCGAGTGAGTGTTCCTCAGATGTGATTATTGACCTGTTCGCTCAGCCTCTCCCCAGGCTCTGATGAATACATGTATGAGGGCCTGACGCGCGAGAGCCCCGCCGTCTGCCTCTCTCACACACACACACACACGCGCGCACTTGAACACATTCCAGGACGTTGCACACAAATCGCCGGCGCACGCGTGCGCTCGCAGACCCGCGAAAGGCGCGCATGATACGGCAGTCGCACATTCGAGGAGACAGGTCCAGATTCCATTAGGGCTTGTTTTGAAGCAAACTCCGCCCCGTTCTGTCTGACACCACCATCCATTCCCCTCGTATGTCTGGCGGTCTGTCTGGGGTCTTCCCGACTGGCCCCTCTTTGAGGGAGCCATAATAAGGCAACTGCTTCACCCTCCATGGTTTCCCCTTTGGGGACTAGTTGGAACAGAGGGAAAGGGGTTAAGGAAACTAAAACCCCTCAGGGGCCGGTAATTCTGCACCGGTCCAGACATGTCTTCTCTTCTTCTGCTCTCATATATCACAGTGCCCCTGCGTCAAAGCAACTAATTGCCTTTCACACCTTTGCTGTTTGCTGGCGACCAGGGACATTTCCTCCAGCCGACAGTACCTCATTGCGGCCAAACAGAAGTCTAGTATCGATACACCATATGTGTGCACATTATTATGTCTCCGTACCAGCCTTTGGGACCATATGAGCTCTTCTGGGTCACTTAGAGTCCTATGAACACCTGCTGGTACGCTCCTCATTGCTCTTCTTCTAGATTGTGTTAAATCAGCAGCCAAAATCTTGTTTGCCAAACTCTCTTGAAAGTATTTTTTAGTTACAGCATGAGATTGACCAAAATTTGGCTTGCGGCAGAACCCTGGATGTCTGATTTATTTTGTTTTTGCAGATAATGCAGCAACAGCTGTTCCGGAATATCTGCAAACCAAACTTGGCTGGAGTTAGACACTCGGGGGGCTTTCAGCTGAGATGACTTTCCCCTCTCTACTGTATCTCGTTTTATTTTCTCCTAATTTTCTACTCGCGGAGCAAAGAAACCCACTAAATCCCTGTCTCCCAGACAATGAAGAGTCAGACGCCTGTCGGTTTCTTGTCTCGACGACGCACAGAAGCAGAAAGGAAGTAGGAGTGGAGGGCACACACACTCCAATGTCCCGTCTCTCTCCCATCCTCAAAGGGGACTCTAATAAACCGTAAGTGCCTCTGAAATATTAACTAGATGCTGTGAGCGGAATCCTAGCAGATCTGCAGGGTCTGCCATCTTCAATCTAGCCCCAAAACAAACCGTACATCTCTTCCTCCTGTCCTCATGCTTCACTGCCTTTCTTCAGCTGTCCATCACTGGCTCATACTTACAGATGACGGGGGGCCAAACCGCTGACCGCAAACCATCTAAGGTCAGCAGAGGATTAATCTCAAACTCTGCAGCTGTGATCCCTTAGAGTTTCGTCAACCTATATGTGTGATTAGGCTTTTCACAGAAAGTTTTCAAATTCCTACAAATATTCTGGGAGGCTTAGAAGGAAATTTGCAGTTGCAAATGCTCACTGACCCTCAAGGTTGAGGGTCAGGTACCGCCTGAAGCACAGGAGTTCAAGTATGTTGGTGCTCATGAATGATGGGAGGATGGGGCTGGAGATGGACAGAAAGATTAGGGTCTTGTGTGTAGCTTCGCCCATGCTGTTTTGGTCTGTCCAGGTAAAGAAAGGTGAGAGCCAGTAGGTAGCAAAGCTTCTGAT